ACCAGGTCGGCCACTACTCACGTCTTCAGAGTGATTTTAGTGCATCAGGACAGATTAAATGGCAATGAGATTATTAACTATTTTATAAACTATGATTATAAATTAGATGGCAATTTTTTTGCAAAGCAGTGGTTGCAGTCAGTTTTGTAAATATTTAGAGACAGGTTGGATCCCATCAGGCAGCCTCTGCACACACCTTGCAATTGAGAATAATCACCCAGAAGTTAAGGGTCTTGCACGTTCAGTCTCCGGGCAACTGCTGCAAATACTTGCAAACAGTCACTGAATGTCAAAAGATTCTGTGCAATCATCAGGCAACCACATTTTTCTCAGTCATAAGGAGGTCCTGTCCCATTTTTACTCTAGTGGGCCCGGGACATTAGTGTTGTATTTAAATCGATGGATAGATTCTTTGTATCTGAGAAATGAAGCCAGTGTGCAAAAGCCAACCTTGCATTCTTTTTAGCTTCCTAGCTGAGGACTTGTAGGTGGTCTGGATACTCCTTTGAGCATCATTTTTTGTATATGCAGTTGTAGTAGTCTGAGAGTCAGTAGGACGTACTCAGCATTTGAAATTGGTCCAGTGAGAACAGGAACAGTGCTCTGGTGGTGTCGCCTCAGTGTAACCGTGGTGACCAAGGAGCTGTCAGACAAGACTCAAACTTCTGGTTTAAGGCTGTGCAGTTGTGCCATCCACCACCCCCTTCTAACGTGGGCATAGACTGTAGGTTTTCTTTCTTCCTCACATGTAAAAAGGAAACTACAGGGGAAATGACACTAAGTGGAAATATGACTAGAAGCATTCCCTGACCACACATCAGCTTGTGATAAGATGGAAGAGAGCATGTTAGCAGATGGCAACTCCTGTGATTTCTAAAAAGTCTAATTGTATAGAAGTCTACGGCTCACTTGATTTAATAGGTCAGTAAACACGTTCCTATTACAGTTATGGTTTCAGATGCTAGTTTAAAGTCTTTTTTAATACACCATGAGGTTCATTTTCTAAGTTATGGCCGTATTTAGAGGAAAATAAAAAAGAAGGATTTGCTTTAGGGCAAGGCATACTTTATGAGTGTGCAGTCTTGACAGAGACAGACTTCCTGGAACTTACACCGGTTCAGCAGAGTTGTAATGAAAATCATAACTTGTAAACGACTGCACAAAGTGATGTAATATTAAAGACATTAATACCTGACACCTCTTACACGCTTAGATGTTTGATTTGCTCAAATGCCTCTGTTTAGGCGTGCGGTTTTCCACTTTGCAGCATTTCACATTGCACTGAGAGTCAGGTCAGGAGTAAAACAAATATGGAGAGCAGGCTTATTTGTTTCAGGACTGAGAGTTTTGTAGGCCATGTTGACAGACCCTAATCGCCTGCCAAATGTCTCATCTGACTGGCGTGGAGGTTTGTTGCTCTCTTTGAAAAACACAGCGGACCACACTTCATTAAAAAAGCAAATAGAAGCCAATACTGGCAAACAGAGCCAATTTGATTCTGAAGAGACAAATTTAACAGGCAGATATGATTACCTCAGACACCACTTCTCCCCTGATTCCACAAACAACAGTTAGGCAAGTCAATTTACCTTAATTTCATTGGAGAAAGCCAGCCAGCCAGCAAGGTTGAAGTCGGTGCTTGATACGACTGAGCACTCGTTAGATGATAATGGATGCATGTAATTGGTAAAGTGCTGATTGCTCCCCCCTCAAAAAGATTCTATCGGAGGAGAATTTTCTGTTTCATTAAGCCATGGTCAGAAATAATGAGATGGCCATCTGTAGACTGTGAGAGAAAAAGAGTGAGTAGGGACTAGTGGTTGGTCATAACTGAGACAGGTTTTTTGTGGTGTCTTCAGCCTTCTGTTTTTTTCCATTGTCAGATATATATTTCCTTTTGGCTTCAGTTCTTTCTGTGTCTATAGCATTTCCCTTTGCTGTTAATCATGCAGGCCGAATCAGTGTGTTTTGCACACTTCCACGTGTATATGTCTTTTTGGTTTACAGCCTTAATGCATCATTGGCTGGCTGCACACCAGCTCACTTTTATGGCCCGGGATCAAACACGCACACATGCTTCAATGGGCATGCAAAAGCACACTGATACAGACACTTTTAGAGCCATAAGTGCTTACTCATCATGCCGCATGGAGAGAATGCATTGGGAGCCATTTATGTTTTGTTTTCCAATGCATTTATTACTGAAGAGTGCATGGTCTGCTGCTTATATTTTTGTGCCCCTGTGTCTTTCTCTCACTGCGCAAGGACATCTTTCTCATTTAGTTGTGACAACAGAACAAGAACATGACTCATCCAAGATAAGACCAATGAAGACTGGGAGTCTTATGGGCCAGAAAATGAAGACAGCAAAGGCAGTTCTATAGAGAAAAAGCAAAGGAAAGCCCCCTCCCTATCATTTCCAATCAGCTGCTGGTTCTGCATGACTAATGCTGAAATGACATATATCATTGTCAGATAGGGCATGTTCACACAGCTGTTATTTTTTTTCACCAAAAATGACTGACTCTAACACACACGCACACCTTATGCACGCTAGCTCACTATTATCTTGCTGGCTGACACCATTTTGCTCTCTAACAATCTTGCTAATTATAATTGTTAATTAATTCTCTGCCAGTGTCCTCATCAGGAGACTAATAACCTACATTTCCATTAATTAGACCTTCAACCCTTCGCTCCCTCTCTCAGTCTCTCTGTCCCACTCCAATCCACCCCTCCATCCTCTGCCTCTGATCCTGCCTGCTGCTCTCTTCTCCCAGGATCATCCGTGGACCACACATGGCCTGCACACATACATGCACACATAGACTGTGATTAATTGTGTCTGTGTGCGCTTGCATTAGTAGCATTGTGATGACAAACGTTTGTTCTTGCTGTCGCTTCATGAGCTTTCAACCTGTGACTGAGGGTGAAAAAGGGATTGTGATTTTAAAGTTAAACTAATGAATTATGAAAATGTGTTTATTTACTTCTGAGTGACAGTCAGGTGTAAAGATCATTGCAATCTCTCATGAATGACTTCTAAATATAGCCTGGCTCTTGCTGACATCTCAGCACATCCAAAGATCATAATGAGCATTGCACTGCTAACCATGGTACGTAGTCTCCAAAAACAGCGGCATCATTCTTACACTATGATTGCTGCATGAATGCTATTTACAAAGATTTGCTGAGAGCTCAGTAGTGCAGATTGGTAGCTTTTGTTACTGTCTAAGCCACAGGTGTCGAACTCCAGGCCTCAAGGGCCGGTGTCCTGGAGGTTTTAGATGTGTCCTTGATCCAACACAGCTGATTTAAATGGCTAAATTACCTCTTCAACATGTCTTGATGTTCTCCAGCGGCCTGGTAATGAACTAATCATGTGATTCAGGTGTGTTAACCCAGGGTGAGATCTAAAACCTGCAGGACACCGGCCCTCGAGGCCTGGAGTTCGACACCCCTGGTCTAAGCACAGTAAGAAGGTCCTGGGTTTAAATCCAGTCTGGGTCTTAGTCATGATCCCTGACTTTGTGTGGGTTCTCTCTGGTTACTCTGCCCTTCTCCCACTGTCTGAGCGTGGCTGGTGGTTACCCACTGTTTTGTCTTTTTGGAAAGCTAACCAGCTGTTTGTTCCAGCTCCATATTTACTAAACGGACATGAGATGTCATTGTTCTCATCTGGCAAGAAAGTGAAAAGGCACATTTGCAAATATCTTATATTCTAGTCTTACTTTTATAAGTAGAGGCCATTTATCTGAATTTGACGTGCTGGAGCACATCCTGGCCCTTCTGGGCTGTGGTATAGACAAATCACCCCTTCTGGTCATTTGTCTATAAATTTGTTCCCCTTCTTTTTGAGGTTATAAAGCTCTCTCAAAGGTATCAGGGGATCTACCAGGCCCATAGCAGCCACCGCCAATCCATAATGATCTCTGGCCTAGGTTGTTTATTCATTATCAAGAAACATTTCTCATTTGTATATGAAGCTCTTGGAGGGGCAGGAGCGTGTGTGGTGCAGTGATCAGCCTAGCAAGAAGGTCCTGTGTTCAAAGCTTGATTGAATGTGAGTGTGAATGGTTGTCTGTCTCTATGTGTTAGCGCGTCTACCGTTTGGCACAGGGCAAACACTCCTTTTTCCTTATGACATCTGGGATAGGCTCCAGCCCAACTGCAACCCTAAATTGGATAAGCGGAAGAAAATGGATGGATGCTTCTACTACAAATCTGGAAGCGTTTAGTTCTTTGGACTCTTACCGGGTCTGAATAAATATGTGTCCCTATAGAAAAGGTAAGAAGCTACTGCTCGGCTGTGTATGCAGCAATAGGTTGCATCTGCTGTTGTAGTTTGGACTGTAAGGCTTTGTGTTTTTATGGGCCATGTGTGTCTCACTATCTGCCTGTCCTTTGAATGCCCACAAACTGTAGAGGCGGCAGACAAAAAGTCCCACTCTCATGGAGACTACTCTTCCCATCAGGCTTAGCTGACCTGGTTTCAGTGCAGAGCGGAGCAGTGTTACTATATCGCCACTCTACTCCTGATCTCAGAACGCTGATGAGAAAAGCCCGAAACTGAGCCGTAGCAGCATGGACTAACAGGGTTGTTTGTTTTGCAGGCCTGTTGATCCTTCAGTCAGCTGGATCGGCAGCAAACTTGAGTTTGTTTCCACTTTTAGCTACGCTCAGCCATTTCTCAGAAGCTCTGCGTTTTTCTTTCAGACTGAATCCTCTCTCTCCATCTGGCACAAGAGGAAGTGAGAGACAGTTGGCACTTGCTTGTCCATACTGTATTTGTGGTGCTAAAATGGCATGTTCTATCTCATCCGTCCTCCTTCCTCTACCTCCCTCACCCTCTCCTGAGAGAAGTAACCCAGATTTCAAAATGAATCGCCGCCTATTCCCCTCAATCTTTCT